CCTTACTCAAGTGCATAAAACAACCTATCTCGGTGCCAACTAGCTGCAGGTACATTTCGGATATTAATCAGACTGTTACTGGTATCATCGGAATTGGTACATTGCGCTTGCTGCAGAAGATCGGAATGGGACGCTTGTGGAAATGTCCCGAGTGCTGTGATGTCGATTCTTGAACAAAAATCTGTGTAACCCACGAAAAAAAAAAAGATCGCGATATACTAGGCATATCAAAAGGTAGAAGCGGACACAGAATCACCAAACGGGGGTACTACAGATAAAAAATAAATGGAGTGGGGAAATAAGGGACGACCGAGAATAAAACCCAAGACAAAAACTCATAAGAGAACAAAGCTTAAAATTGAGAGGATTGACTTCTTTGCCCCGGGTTTTATCACAAATGACCCCCCTCCCCCTTTTCCCCGCAAACCGGCTGTCCGTCCGGTAGAAAGCGTCGCGCAAACCATGAGCCCACCATAGCTCGGGCGACGATCCCCATGGGCACTCGTGAACCGAACGAGGCAGCCGTGAAGCGAACCCACGACATGTCCAGGGGAACGAACATATTCCACAGGGTACAACGGAATACAACAAATCAATGTAAGCCCCCGTATGACGTATACACTAAGGGCTCAGGATGGTAATGACGAAGATTCCCATAAAAACTAACATTACTGTGTAATCTGAGGAAGGAAGGAAAACGCAATTTCTCAACAAGGAAACCATCTTCCCCAGCCATCTGTGCTAATCAGCGAGTAATGCCCGGTGACGTAAATCTGTTATCGCTAACACGCTTAAAACAAAGGGGGAGATAATAGGGTTGGCTGGCATGCGTCATGGCGCCAACCCTGGCAGAACCTCAACAAATTCCAATCTCTCTATGTGTACATTGCGGACAGTGCCAACAATGGCTCCATGAAAATCAGGCTAGAGATCGTCAAGACAGGGAGGTCCTCTAAGGGTTAGGTGAAAACTGAAACATGTTATTAGTGAATAATGGATTAAAGTGTAAGTTTCTTCGGGTTTCTGGTCTACGGCAGGCAGACATTGGCGATTATGACTCTTCGAATCTTACAAGGTGGAACAATACACCTTTTTGCTATGAATGCTTTCTTGCGTTTGTGTAATTTTGGCATAACATGAGCATCCATACCTCATTTCTGTTTCCGTTGCTGGTAAATGGGTGAGATTCCACTCCTTGTGGTGAAAGTTTTACCAAGACAGAGTTACGATTAGCTTGATTTATTGTAAGGTTTCTAAGAGTATCTGGAAACCACAGAGGAAAAAGGAATAGAGGGAGATTTAAAAACAAACAAATGACGAAGACAGAGACGTGATTTGTGATATGTGGAGGACTTACAGGGAGATGACAATAACAACAAAACAGGACCACTCTTAATGGCAGACCAAGAAGAGGAGGCAGAGAAAAAAAAGAAACCCAGTACTCAAACATAAAAGGCAAAGATACCTTCTTCTTTGTTTTCAGCCTCTATAAAAACCAGTACTTGTGTTTTGCTTGCACATTCATTTTTTCGGATCTGGTATGCAGACTGTTGGTTCCATGCCTTTTTTGCCGATGTCTGTAACTTCAACTTCAAACGAAACACCCATAATTAGTAAACTTTTATTACATTCATATGCTTGTGAGTGTGTGTGTGTGTGTGGGGGGGGGATGTTTGGTCTATTATCCCCCTATACACACACATTGGTGTTTGGTCTATTATCCCCCCCCCCCCACACACACACAAAATGGGGCCTAGGACCCCCACGGAGGTCAATTCACCAAAAAACTGAGTTCCCTCATGAGGACAAACATGGTTTTCTGACCATGTTATATGAGACAAGGGGATGTGAATAAAGTTGTGACAACTAGCAAGGTTATTACTTAACATTGGGGTCAACATAGAAAATGATGGCAGAATTGAAAAAATGGCACAACAAACCGGGGTTACCACACAGTGATGGAAACATACTGGTAAGCTAATCAATAACACATGAGTGCCTGAGCATATCAATTACACATAAGTGGCTGAGTTTGTCAATAACACATGAGTGGATGAGCTTGTCAATAACACATGAGTGGATGAGCTTATCGATAACACATGAGTGGATGAGCTTGTCATTAACACATGAGTGCCTGAGCTTATCAATAACACATAAGTGAATGAGCTTGTCAATAACACATGAGTGGATGAGCTTGTCAATAACACATGAGTGGCTGAGCTTGTCAATAACACATGAGTGAATGAACTTGTGAATAACACATGAGTGGATGAGCATGCCAAAAACACATGAGTGGATGAGCTTATCAATAACACATAAGTGGATGAACTTGTCAATAACACATGAGTGGATGAGCTTGCAAAAAACACATGGGAGGATGAGCTTGTCAATAATGCATGAGTGGCTGAGCTTATCAATAACACATGAGTGGATGAGCTTATCAATAACACATGAGTGCCTGAGCTTGTCAATAACACATGAGTGCCTGAGCTTGTCAATAACACATAAGTGGATGAGCTTGTCAATAACACATGAGTGGCTGAGCTTATCAATAACACATGAGTGGATGAGCATGCCAAAAACACATGAGTGGATGTATCAATAACACATAAGTAGATGAGCTTGTCAATAACACATGAGTGGCTGAGCTTTTCAATAACACATGAGTGGATGAGCATGTCAATAACACATGAGTGGCTGAGCTTATCAATAACACATGAGTGGATGAGCTTGTCAAAAACACATGAGTGGATGAGCTTATCATTAACACATGAGTGGATGAGCTTATTAATAACACATGAGTGGCTGAGCTTATCAATAACACATGAGTGGATGAGCTTGTCAATAACACATGAGTGGATGAGCTTATCAATAACACATGAGTGGATGAGCTTATCAATAACACATGAGTGGCTGAGCTAATCAATAACACATGAGTGGATGAGCTTGTCAATAACTCATGAGTGGCTGAGCTTGTCAATAACACATAAGTGGCTGAGCTTGTCAATAACACATGAGTGGCTGAGCTTGTCAATAACACATGAGTGGATGAGCTTGTCAATAAACACATGAGTGGATGAGCTTGTCAATAACACATGAGTGGATGAGCTTGTCAATAACACATGAGTGGCTAAGCTTGTCAATAACACTTGAGTGGCTGAGCTTGTCAATAACACATGAGTGGATGAGCTTATCAATAACACATGAGTGGCTGAGCTTATCAATAACTCATGAGTGTCTGAGCTTATCAATAACACATGAGTGGATGAGCTTGTCAATAACACATGAGAGGACGAGCTTGTCAATAACGCATGAGTGGCTGAGCTTATCAATAACACATGAGTTGATGAGCTTATCAATAACACATGAGTGCCTGAGCTTGTCAATAACACATGAGTGGCTGAGATTGTCAATAACACATGAGTGGCTGAACGTATCAATAACACACGAGTGAATGAGCTCGTCAATAACACATGAGTGGATGAGCTTGTCAATAACACATGAGTGGCTGAGTTTATCAATAACACATGAGTGGCTGAGCTTATCAATAACACGTGAGTGGATGAGCATGCCAAAACACATGAGTGGATGTATCAATAACACATAAGTGGATGAGCTTGTCAATAACACATGAGTGGCTAAGCTTATCAATAACATATGAGTGGATGAGCTTATCAATAACACATGAGTGGATGAGCTTGTCAATAACTCATGAGTGGCTGAGCTTGTCAATAACACATAAGTGGATGAGCTTGTCAATAACACATAAGTGGATGAGCTTGTCAATAACACATGAGTGGCTGAGCTTGTCAATAACACATGAGTGGCTTAGCTTGTCAATAACACATGAGTGGTTGAGCTTGTCAATAACACCTGAGTGCCTGAGCTTGTCAATAACACATGAGTGGATGAGCTTGTCAATAACACATGAGTGGCTGAGCTTGTCAATAACACATGAGTGCCTGAGCTTGTCAATAACACATGAGTGCCTGAGCCTGTCAATAACGCATGAGTGGCTGAGCTTATCAATAACACATGAGTGGATGAGCATGTCAATTACACATGAGTGGATGAGCATGTCAATTACTCATGAGTGGATGAGCATGTCAATTACACATGAGTGGATGAGAATGTCAATGAGTGGCTGAGCTTATCAATATCAAGAGTGGCTGAGCCTATTAAGAACATGGAGTGGCTGAGCTTATCAAGACAAGAGAATGGCTAAGATCATCAAGAACAGAGTGACTGAACCTATCAAGAACACAGAGTGGGTTGGTTTAATAAATATCTGTGTAGAATCGCCATAGCTATAGCCACTTGACAGCACATGATAGTGATGCAACTTGAAAACTCTACCAAATCTACCCCAAATTTAACCTTTTTAATAATAACATATTTACAAGACAGCAGCAACAGCAACAAAATTCAGTACCCTAACTTGAACTGACTGGTAACAAAACAATAAAACACAGGAAACCACTCCAGTCTGTGTGTGTGTGTGTATGTGTGTGTGTGTGTGTTGAGTTAATGCACTGGCCGCAGTTTGAAAACAATAAATAATGCACCTATGATACTGGATTTGGGCTTGCGCAAACAATCAGATTATGAGACGACACAGGACCAGCCCAGAAATGTTTTACTTTTCAGGCAAAAACTACATGACTTTAATTTGCCAATGAATGTGCAAACAGTTTGCTCAAAACAAAGATTTAGCATTGTCTTCTCTTTTCATGTTCACCAGCTGATTGTTCTGGTTGGTCGTCCATCACTACTTGGTCTTGTTCCAGAACCTGCATGCTGTATGCACATCCACTTTACAGATCTGACTTATCTGTATGCAGACTGTTGATTCTATGCCCCTCAGGCCGATGCACTATTTTTGTTTTCCCCACCATGGGGGCCCCGGAACCCCAACAGGGATAGCATTTTGGTGACAACCGCACAGTGCCAACAAGATATTCTATTTTTACAATGCCTATAAAAACAACACACATACTTACAGTTGAAGACCGGATTTCATTATGATCTAGGATGATTCTGTGACTTTCCCAACGCCTCAGGTAGCGTGAGTTCATTATCTTGCTAACTATTGTTCGTGTGTGGTTGAGGCGGCATACCTGCACATCTGCCTCAGTGATCAGTTTATGCCTAGGTCCTGTTGGAACAGGAACTTTACAGACTGCAGGAATTTGAACACTGACTACTGAAGCCGGTTTGAAGCTGGCGTCAAATGTTGCTGCATTCATTGTAGAATTCTGAATTGTGGTCATAGTAAATGTCTGCTAGTAATCCAATCAGAAAATTTAAACACGATACTTCTACAGAACAGTATGAAAAAAATTAATGGTGCCTAGACAAATCATTTTAACTTTGAATTTAATCGAAGTTTGAATATAATTGAACAATCGGTGAGGAGCGGCTGGCCGAACGGTTAAAATTCTGGGATCTCAAGCGGGAGATCCAGGTTCGAATTACTGGTAAGGCTGGGGATTTTCTCTGTCGGGACCAAAATAAAATCCTCAATTGTACAGTCGTGGTGATAGCACTAGCAATACGGCCGTAAATTCTCAGGCTCAACCCCCCGCCCCCCACCTACACCGCAAAAGTGGTAAAATAAAGGCAGTAACTGGCAGTTTTTTTTAGGGGGAGGGTGGGGGGCAGAATATAATTAGCAAGCCTATTTTAAAACAGTATCTCATTATCCTACTGTGCCTTTATGTCATATAGATCTTCTAGTCTATTCCTCTATTCCATTCTATTATGTGGAATCCTTTCAATATCGTGAACGGAATTCATACAGCACCTCTGGCCTGTCTCAACGTACGATTATAGAGTTTCCCTTGGAGGTCAATGCCTCAATCCATTGTTTCTCCTTTCAGTGCCTGTCTGCAGGATGCATCCAATTCAGGAAAATCTTCTGGGTCTACAACTGTTGATGTCAGACAGTAATCACATCCCAATGACTTCTCCTTTAGTCCTCCGCCTTTCAGCATCAAGTATTGAAAAGGCATCAGGTGCAAGCCTTGGTATGTGCTACATAGATGCTGGTATTTATGGTCGATCCATGTATCCACTGCTTCCAGATTACCATCTTTGTACTGTCTATTGGAGCAAAGATGTCTGCGCTGGCTGGGACATGTCTCCTGCATGGAGGATGGTCGTATTCCAAAGGATCTCCTGTATGGTGAACTGGAGACTGGGAATAGACCTACAGGAAGGCCAAAGCTACGTTTTAAAGACAAATGCAAACGTGACCTGATAAATATCAACACAGACACAGAGACTTGGGAAAAATCAGCTGCAGATCGACTACTATGGCGACAAAAAGTGAAAGACGGATCGTCACATTTTGAAAGAAACCAAAAGCAGCGAGCTATAGAGAGGAGACGCCGGAGAGAAGATCAGCCACACAGCAAGGGAGTATCTACTTGTTGTGTGTATCCTATGTGACAGAGACTGCCACTCCCACATCAGACTTTGCAGAAACAGCAGATGCTGTTCCCAAAGCCAGCGTCACATCGCCATAGTCCCTAGGGACTGAGGGATGCCAGTATTATTATTACTGCTTTTAGTTAATGAATTAAATCATTTACAATCTGTTTAACCCCCTCCCCCCCCCCCTCGCATGTATTACTTTTATACAATTATTCTTACTATATATACTCTTCCGTTTTCCATCTCAAACTCACTGAGTACTAAGTAACTCATTTGTCATATGTTCTAAGAACTAAACAACAACCACTGCCACATGGAAGTGGTAACACTAATCAGCACTGTTTCAATTTTTACTTTATGTCTCTACCAAAGAACTATTTTAAGTCATTCTGATCTAAGCTTGTACTTTCTGGAAGAGAATGACCACTGGCCTCAGCTGGGCTAACAGACTGCAATGGCTGAGGCATATAAGGGCAGATGACCGAGAGACAACACTGAATGCATAAAGGAGCAGCAGACCATGAGAAAGACCAAGAAGATGGTGGAGAGATAATATACAGACAGACCTATAAACACCTGGAGTCACCAAGTGGAAAGAGAAGGCCAATCAGAGATAAGTGGAGGCGAGTATATCTACAGAATGAACCTCAAGGGTTCAGAATGTTGAAGAAGAACAAGAAGAGGAGAATGAGCTAAATTATATCTGCATGGTCTTTTCTGCCCTCCCAGTGGAGCATAGGCCCACAACCAACTCACACCTAATCATCCTGTCCTTTGCTACTGAATGCAGCTCACATCTTATCCTCCATACTTTTTACTGCCTTCATTTATATGCCCCTGTGGCTTCCAGTGTGGGGATATTCTAGTTATGTTCTCAGGGTTTCAACCAAAGAACCAAGCCATCTGTAGACTCTGCTGTCGCAATCTGCCGCTACAATTCTCTATAAGATGTGGTTTTACCTTTTTGCGCTAACCCACCGCCTACATCTACATAGTTTGAAAGCTACCTACCTCCTACAACTGTAAACAAGCACAATTATAACTTACCCAATACAATCACAAGCTATGCCATTAAGAAAGAACTACGTGAAGTGAAATTAAGCTATTAAACGATTTTCCGACTCCCTCAACCGAACATAAATCACATCCTTGTCACATTGAGAACTGAAGCACCAATAAATTATAATAAACTTCTTGTTAATCAGCATAAAGAAATAAACAACCTACACAATCCCGCAAATCGAAATAAAGTGAAAACTTTCTAATCCAGATAAGTTCCTTGCTGCAGCCAAACGATCTAGAAAGAAACGGTGATCTCTAGCAGTCGATGCACGAAATGAACAGTGAACAACCACGGACTGCTCGTCGTAAACAAATCAATAAGTCGGTGAACATATCTCAGAAAAATCATGGAATTACAGTGTTACGCACATAAAAGCAAACATGTAGAGTTAACAATAACATTTCTAAGATCTGATTTATTGCAATAATCCAAAGGATGGAGTGATAAGAAAGGCTCCGTCCCGCCCACAAACTGAAGCGATAACATAACCGTCTGTGCAGTCCTCCATTTTTACATAACGGATATTTCCGGCCCTGGTTGTGTGTCACGTGATCACGGTGACGTTTAATCAACATAGCTAGGAATAGAGGCTGCAGCTCCAGGAGAGGAGGATTCGACCCGCCCCCCGTCAGCTGGGTACTGCAGGCAGAGGCGCCAACACAAAGAAAACATTGTAGAAGAGGTGCTGGTGCGAGGGGGCGGGGGTTTAACCAGCTACATATTTTCTAGAACTATGGGGTCTTTTATAGTATAAGATAATTCCGATCAGTACAAAGAAACCTCTCATATAAAGCATATTCATTCTCATGATATGTTACCAGTGCCATAACTGTCCGACAGTGGGACAGTTTTTTAATATATATTCAAGTCCCAGCCTGGCTGGACTTCACGTTACTTCGTAACTGTCGCCGGAGGCCCTAATATAGCCTTATGGTTGAACTGGGATTTTGGGACTTGCGCCTAGGGAGTTCTCATGCGAATTGTGACACTGTGTGTCAACAGGTGTTAATCGCTTGTTGTGCGGTCCTGGTTGGGTTAAACGTCATTCAGTCACAATTGCCAGACATGGTCACTCACAACAAATTAGAAAAGATCAACAGTAACCTAGTAACCAAGGACATGGGGTATCTGAGAATGACTGCAAGAGTAACCAAAAAAGATCTCCTTCGCGTTCAGAGTCTGTAAACTTGGCGGAAATCGATGGTTTGTCTTCAACTTCTGGACTTGCTTCATAATTTGAGTTTTGCGCGTTCATCCCTTTTGCAGGTCTAGCTTGTATGCAGTCTGTTGGTTCCTCATATCTCAGAGAGAATCACCCCGACTTCAAAAGACACCAGAAGCTATCAAATCAGGAACAACGTCTTAAGAGATAAAGTCGACACAAAACCAGTTCTTTTATATTACATACCCACACAGCAAATCAAATTGTTTACCCACTTAGTAAGAATGCCTTGTGACGCCCTACCATAAAAGGCACTCACCAAAAGAAGCGAAGGAGGCAGAGATTAAGGAAAACCAAAAACAATATGGAAAGATATTATAAAAGAAAATTTACAACAGCACAAAGTGTCTTGATCGTAGCGGTCAGAAAGGTGAAAAGCAGAACCGTGCATCTTCCTCAAAACCCAAAGCGACACAAGAGGAAGAGAACAAGAAGAAGAAGGCGAAAAAGAAGGATAAGAAGGGGCCATGAATTGTTTAAGCGGTAGTAGTAATAACAATAATAGCAGTATTAACAATGTGTGAAAAAAGACTTTATATCCTAATCATAAAGAATGAGAAGAAGGGGCATATGAATTGTTTAAGTGGATAATAATTATAATAATAATAGTCGTAATAACAAAAATAGCAATAATAATAATGTGTGAAAAAAAAAAGACTTTATATCCTTATCATAAAAAAGAAGCATAAGAATTGTTTAAGCGGATAATAATTATAATAATAATAGTAATAACAATAATAGAAGTAATAATGTATGAAGAAAAGACTTCATATATGCTAATCATAACCTAGATTGGTTGTACAGGATTACATTATTTAAATTATAACTAGTACATGAAAGGAAGCCGCTGGTCATGTCACGAGAAAGAGACAACAGGAGTACTTTTGACGGTAGGAAATCTGGAGGGGGAAAAAAGTCAGAGGGAGACCGAGAGAGAAGATGTCGGACAGTTTAACATCATGGCGTGCAAGATAATCTGTGTGAAAACAGACTGAAAGTACTGGAGACAGAAGGCTGTGGATAGACACGACTACAAACGCCTTGGAGTATAAGAAGAAGACGAATGGCAGTTGAATATAATAATATATTTGAAACAATATGAAACGGACAAACATTTAACAAGAGAACATCTATACCTGGTAATCTGGTAATCCTAGTTTCAGCTTCATAGGAAACGGGTCACCCCATAGTTGCTCCGCTCCTGTGCCAATGAAAAACAGCTCACAGTGTCACGCCATGCACTTAACTCAGAAGCTGGGCGACGAAACTATATCCTTCCAGTCTACAAATGGAGCAAAAATGCAACGGCCACCGTCTGAAAAAAAAAGTGGCTGTGCCTAGCGTACATTTTGACCTGAAGCATTATATGAGGGTTAATAAACGGTCACCTCAGCAGTACCCTCATTATTAGCTGGGGAAGGGACTTAGGACATTACATCCACCAGCAGGCGTCGCCCCTACAACGACCTGCCTGCCTTCGTTAACGACTGTTCACCTAACAGCCATGCAGTTCTTTGGCACGAAGGAGACACCTTGAACTTGGGTTTCGG